TTAACTTAGGTTATTATAGCAGCTTGGACTGCAGCTGATTTGAGAACACTGCTAGTGGTATTAAACACTTCTAGAGCAGCCATTTGAGGAGGTAAGTTCAGACAGGGCAAACTGAAGCACAGATCAGAATCACAGAGGGTGGCCACTCAGGCAGTACACACCACTGCTATGAGTCCATTTGAAGGCAGGCAAAAGTGAGATAAGAAAAAGAAGAATCAAAGGTAGGGAGACGAGTAAAAGACAGCAGGAAACATGACAGAATTAAACATTAGGTATTTAACACGAATGCAGAATAATTTGGTTATTTTAGGACTTCTGTCCAAAACAATACAATAGATAAAACATCAGGCTTTTGTGCTCTTTTAAAGGATTCCTCTGAAACATCAGATACAACATGCAATATTTATGCTATCTTCCATGAGTAGAAACAAAAGAACTCAGTCAGGAATGAACATGGAACCATATCCGTAACTAACATAAGCCCAGCAAAACAGCTGCCTATGGAATGCAAGTCTGTAGGGGCTGGCTTTTGGGGAGAAGCAACGCTAACATGCAAATGCCCAGCCCCAACCTCACAATTTGAGATCACGTGTTTTTCTTACATCAGTTCCAACACAGGAAAACCTACACGTTTATAGAAGTCTGGCATACTGCACACTACATCCAGGACTGCATATACCACCGTAACACTGAGGGACATTTTGGACAGATGTACACACATGAACAGCTTTTGTCTTAAAACAGATCACTCTCCTCAACCAGCGAATGCTTAATTTTTCTCCCTTATAGTTATATTTGGATTCAGTGGATATCCTGCCTGTTCTGTTTCTGCCCACTTTATCACAAACCTAATACTGCTGCTCTTCAAGACTTGTACCAGTGTCCCTTGCCAAATTAAGCCTCAAAGTAATACAATTTGGGACTGGTGAACTGCTTGAAACAAGAAATACTTACAAAATGGCCAAAGACTTTTTCTGCACAGGAAACAGGACATCTCTGCACTTGCCTAGATGCCAAACAGCACTGACTCAGCTAGGAAAAGGGCAAACCTGCTACAAGCCAAATGTTACACCATACTATTTAGTAATATCCACAGAAGAAAATACATCTGAGCTTTAAATGCCGCTTCTCCCACTCCACCCTTCCTGCCTTTGCTTCTTCATACAAATACTGGTTTTACCAATGCAAAAGAAGTTTGGCTGACTGCAGTTACACTGACTGAAAAAGCTGCTTTATGCCTACTGGTCATGCCCTTCACATCATACAGGCTACACAGGAGTAAAACTCTGCAGAATAGTGCCTCTGCTGGGATCCTGCTGCACACCTCTTTTTCCACTACCTCTCACTCTCTCATCACATAAGCAAAGAAGAATGTTATCTCTCTTTCCCACATGTGATTTAGCACACTGGATCAAGCAACAAAAAATTTGCAAGCCAACAAAGTAGCATCCTAAGTGCTTCCATGCAAAAGGAGATTTGGTACACAGCTTCGGGAACCCTAAACAACCTAAGTTTTAATAATGTCTTTCTGTGTGAGCTTGTTGAACGTTTCACTCACAACAAGCTTTGTGGGTACTGCCTGCCCTAGTTAAAGTAATGAGCACAACAGAATTATAACTGACACAGAAGTACTATCCTGTTCCTGCACGCAGTAAGGGCAACGTTGCCTTCCGCAATACTTCCAGGCTCATTAGAGCCAGTAGCTATTTGTTAGTCTGTGATGCAGATATGTTACGGGCTAAAAGATGCACATAAAGGTGGTAAAGAGCACAGCACCCAATCTCAGCAGCAGAAAATAAACGGAGGCCTTGGGAAAGACAGTATAGGCAATGCTCCACAACGCTGCTTATACTATCTACTAAGTACTGCAAAAACAGAGGCTACTTTGGGATGTGACAATTACTTCAAGAGGCTGTCTTATCCAGGGGAGTTATTTATTATAATCTGTATTATAACAGATTACTTTGGACTGTGCTGGGGACTCCACTGTGCTAGCACAAATATGCACAGTGAAAAGTAATCAAATTCTGGATGTTTTATCACCGGACTTGAGGCTCGTGGCTGTACAGAGGGTTACAAACCACTCTGCAGTACCTAAAACATGAGAAGGTCCCATTGCAAGGTGTGACAATTGCCACAGCCTGACCCAGCTGCAATCCGCTGGATGTTTCCATCTGACTGACGGCCACTTTGTTCCAGAGAAGTCAGAGTTCGAGGGCTTGGGCAGAGGGCACCACCCTAACTACTAAATGTGGTCTCCCACCCCTGCACACCACCCACATTGAAGGATTCTGCAAGGCCAAATATTTGCCCTCCTCCACACGTGCTGTGGCTCAGCAATCTCTCATCGTCCTCTGGTTTTCTCATAGCATTAAAGGTTGACAATATCAACCCTAGAAAATCCTCTGCTATAATACAGGGTTATTATATATGTGGAGTGGCCTTTCTCACTGCAGAACCTCGCAAAGAAATGCTGAGCTCCTCTGCTAAGTTATTTTGACGTGAATTCTCAGAGCACTGTGGGCAGAAAGAAGCTCAAGGCTGAGTCATATCAGTATGATATAAAAGGGGCTACTAACATCACATGCTCCTAGCAGATCACTTAATTCTCCTGGTCTCAGCTGTAGCCAACCATATGTGAATTACATTAGACTTCAGCTATACGTGTATTTCTGTTGTCTTTCCAACTTACTATACTTCATATAATAGGTTATGAATACAGATGATAGACCACAACTGAGCCCAGACATACCTGTATGAACTCCATTCCTTTTGCTACCTGCCCACAAACTTCTGCCGGGATTCCAACATCACGCTGACACTTGCAGAACTACTGCTGAACGCAGGTTAATGAGCTTGGCTAGACCTCGGCTAACACCGTTCAGAGCTATTGTGGTACCTCTGTCATATCTGTGCTTTCGTGCATTTCTAGTCATAACAGGAATACTACAACTGACTAAGGTCCAGCAAAGTTGATTAGCTCGGTCTCCATGCCACTTGCTGTGTGCTGTCTTGAGACCAAGCTGTCCTTGGCTTTCATGCTATGCTGCTTTAGCCTAGTATCTGCCCATGGATAATTTTAATACATCTATATAGACTCTGGAAGTGACTAATGCAATTGGCTTTAAAAATAGGTGCTACAAATCCTAAAAATTGATTATTATAGTGGAAAACATACTCTTGCAGGGTAGGGGTTTTTTTCCACAATAGCCGTTTGTGTACTCTCACACAAATAAAAATTTGTGTATCAGGACTGGGAATTCTTTTTTCAGCAACGTGATTTTCAGAATGCCCTGTACCTCTGTGCTCCACATGGGTGCTGTATATACAGCAAACAGTGAAGATACTATCTGACAACACACTTCATTTCCCTCAGTATCAGAATTTACTACATTGCAGCGTCAGATTACCTACTTGCTCCTGAACCATGATAAAGAGGGCAAAGGGGGGAGGGGTGTGTGTGTCTCTTTCTGAACTACCACTACTAAGCCAGTATTTTGTATGCATGCATCCATAAACATAGCGTAATGTCTAACATGTTTCTGGCAGATAGTTAACCAAGGATCAAAAATTTCACAAAATTAGGATCATGATTCATTTCTAACTGGAGTTTCTTTTTAAATCCCAACCCTAATTTATTTCTTTCAACTACAGTAACATTTATTTTCTCTGTCTTTTTAATTTTTAAACCCCATAGCTATAAAAAATTTAGATTGAAATCATTCAGGAGACTCATTTCAAAAGAGATATAAGAACAGACACATTTCTGTCATTGATGTCTTGTTAGTTACAGAAGATTTATTTTTTCTCTGAATTAGTTTACAATTTAAAAAAAAAAAAAAAAAAGATTGTCCCTACAGACAGTGCTGAACTGATTTAACCAAAATACACATATAATTGTATGGACCTTGATTTCCTTAAAGTCATCATTTCACCAAATCCACAACATAAATATTTCTAAACTCTAATATATAATAATATGTAGCATAAATATATTTAAAATTGCTAAACTGTTGCTTGGAATTATGTTCATATAGTTTCATTAATATCAGACAACTTAATACAGGGTAAAATGTACTGCTTACTGCTTTAGTTATTAAAACATTTGGTTAAAGTAAGTGAATAAGATCACATCTGGATTCCTTTTGGAATTGGCAAGGAACTAAGAAGCCTTTCACATCTTGGTTACTGGTTCAATTCAGTAAGTACCCATGATGTTTAAAGATTTATTTTTTTTAGAGAGCTGCAAAAAAAACAGTTTTCCATTCACCCATTTCCCCATCCCCAGAGCTGCTGTTTGTTCAAAGGATCAGATGTATCACCAAGGCTGAAAAATGTGGAGCATTAACTGTCTCTGCAAATGGTCCTACCAGAACAGGCCTCAAACGCACTAAAAGGAAGGTTGTTCACTCCCTTGGACCCATCCATCTCACCAAGCCACTATGGAATAACAGCGGATGTATTTACCCTGCCTGACATACACACTTCCCAGCAGAGAACAGCCCAGTAAAGGAGGCTCCACGGGCCTTCAGCTGGTACACACCGCCTGACTAAATTGCTTATTTCACCACTAGAGCTCAACAGTTTCACCTGCTTACTAACCTTTACCAGACAGTTCTGGGCTTTCAAAAAGAGCAGTCCTTATTTAATTCCTGTCTTAGTCAGATCTTCTGATAAAACCGAAATTTAACATAAAAAGGTTATTCTTTTAGCTATGTGATGTAAATTGTAGGTGAGATTAAGGTTCCAAAGGATCTTGGGGAACTTTTTAAATGGATACTTAGCGGGATTTTAATAGCACTTAATTTGGGCACTCTGGCATTTCAGGAGACATTTGAAACTTCCACCCTTCACATATTTCATACAAATTACTCATTCTGGCCATGATATGTAAACTACCTTCTACGTGATCACACAATACACAAGACTTCCAGGTGAAAAAGAGCTAACAGACTCTACAACTCAAGACCTGCAACGCTAGGTTGAACTACAGCACTTACCCGTTAGGCCTGAGGTCAGGCAGGCGCCGGTCCAGTGGCAAGCGGTCGCTCAGGTAAGCGTTGTAGCCGTAATACTGGAACTGTTTGAGTGCGATACGTCTGTTTTCAGGACTGAGATCCTGGCCCCAGTGAGCAAAGAGAAA